CATTACCGATACGACGCTAAACCTTCGATTTGAAGATAAAACAAAACCAAATAGAAAAAGACTTACCATTGAACAGATTTGACCTTATTTGCCTAGTAAATATATTTATCGAGGTCGTCCATAAAAGTGTTTTCGGAGTATGATTAATAATCATAATTTTCCGATGAAGATTATAGTTACAATCACATGATTGCGAAGCCCTGGATTATCACTGGGCGCCTCGTTATGATATTAAAGGAATATTGCTAAAAGTGGCCTGAAGCTTTACTCACTCACATGCTCCTTCGTCTTTTGACCGCCTCCGTGGTCTAGTGGTAATGCGTCCGCCCGGAGAGCGGAAGGTCCGGGGTTCGAACCCCGACCGCGTCATACCAAAAGACGTTAAAAGATGGTACTTGTTGTTACCCTGTCTGGCGCGCGGCATTAAGGGGATAAAACAAGGACTGGTCGGCTCGGAGTCAGTATACTGTGTCTGAGTGGGGTATTCATGTTAAACTGCGGCATGGTATCTCAGTAAGCTAGCACTATAAATCGGCATCAGTCCGGACTAGTACAAGCAGCCACACAAACACATGCACGTCGCTTTATAAGTGCAATAATCTTGGACGCGACGTTAAACCCCATTTCACCTCACCTTTCGTCTTTTGAATCAGGCGGTCGGGTAGCCCAGTGGTTTAACCGTTCGCTCGTCACGCCGAAGACCCGGGTTCGATTCCCGATATTGGTACAATGTGTGAAGCCTTTTTCTGGTATCCCCCGCAGTGATATTGTTGGAATATTGCTTAAAGCGGCGTAAAACCACACTCACTCACTCACTCACTCTTTTGATTCGTAACCGGAATGAGTTGTGTACATATGAGTGAGAGAGTGAGTGAGTTGGGTTTAACGCCACTTTTAACAATATTCCAGTTATATCACGGCGTGTCAGCTTAATGTGGGAGGAAAGCCCGAAGTGATGCAGGTCTCAGTCCTTTACCACCTAGGTGAAACCCAAGAGCAGGGATATGGTGCTGACAAACCTAGAAACATAATTGGGGCGAACCAGGATTCGAACCCATAATCATAGGTTTCTGGCAAGTGTAAGGGACGCAACTCTGCACAGCGAAACGCGGAGCCTTAGACGACTGGGCCACCCGTACCTATGTACAATGACTGATCAACGGCGATGTCCATTATTCCTAGCTGCCTAGTTTCTGAACGTTTAATGAGGTGGAGGTACCCTGCACTCAATAACCTAACGTATTGACTTGTATCAGTACTGGCAATAGCATCTCTTACAATGAACACCAGTTACTCTCAATCCGTGGAGATTCCGGGGTAGAATAGGTCTTCAGCAACCCATGCTTGCCGTAAAAGGCGACTATGCTTGTCGTAAAAGGCAACCAACGGGATCGGGTGGTCAGGCTCGCTGACTTGGTTGATACACGTCATCGATCCCAATTACGTGGATCGATGCTCATGATGTCGATCACTGGATTGTCTGGTCCAGACTCGATTATTTTACAGACCGCCGTCATATAGCTGGGATATTGCTGAGTGCGGCGTTAAACAACAAACCAACCAACCAACCAACCAGTTACTCTCAAGGATGAATACATGATGGGTGGAAAACAGGATCACATTACATTACGAAACCCAGTTATTCCATTCATGCATTGATGCATGTGATTGTGAAGGTGCCAGTGGAGGGGCACGACTACTCTCACCTTATGCCGGGTGTCATCACTACCAGTACTTGATAGCATGCTTCATCTTCCCGAGGCATTGGAGTTAACTGACTAGAAAAGTCCATTTCCACCCTTGCCGAACAAGGCATGAATTATGGAGTTACATGTTGTAGTCAGTTAACTCCCTTGCCTCTGGAGATGAGCAGGCTTATGATACAGTCGGAATCGTACAATGGACTTCTATTAGAGATTTCTTATGATTATGGAAATGCTTGTGTCGTTTTTATTTATTATAACATTTAGATAACTGTTAGCATTGATTTACCGGTAACATATTTCTGGGGAAAGCATTTATCAATCTTACCATCTGGTATTTATTTTTGGTTTCTAAGATTTGGATTTTCCAATGAACCTTTGAAAAACAGACAATACAAGTTTTAAGAAATGACGGTATGTCATAGTTTAACATTATATCTGTTAGTATTTTTCTGTTGATAAGTCTTCATGTAACATATGTTTCAGTTTCCTCAAATCATAGATCTAAATGTGGGAGGGCGGCACCTGAGCACCCGTATTTCAACTCTCACAAAGTACCCTGATTCCAAGTTGGCCGATATGTTCAGTGGGGAATATGTTATGCCAAAAGACAAAGATGGCCGGTTCTTCATCGATGCGGATGGCGACGTATTCGCTCACATTCTCAACTTCCTGAGGTACGAGATGCTGCCCCCTCCCGACCAGGCAGCTGCTGTACACAAATATGCAAACATTTTTGGCATTAAGCCTTTGCTTGCTATATATTTACAGTGGGGACCAGTCTTTGCACAGGCTTTGAGAGACAAGTGGAAACTTGGAATAGCCGGGTATGACGACTGCCTGAATCAGGTGCGGGAAGGCCTGGTGGCAAGTCGGTATCACAGTGGTGTCGTGTTCATCCAGTTCTCGGATTCCTCTCAACACGTGTTCACTCTGTGCAAGGTGGCTGGTATTCCTGAGGGACATCATGTCATCAACGTCAAATACTCCTCCTCTGCAATGGATGGGACCAATCTTGTCCATTTCCTCAATGAGGACCTGAAGCGTATCGGTGTTCACCTTCAGCCGGGGGACTTCCGACCAGAACCAAAGTGTGGTTGTCGCGTGGCTTTTCGGTACATGATAAAACTTGAGTAACTGATGTACCCATAATTGTCACATTGTGTAGTTTGGTGCGATTAATGTATACTTCCCAGGCGAATAACATACAATCTACAGCAACCTATGCTTGTCGTGAGAGGTTGTCAGGCTGGCTGACTTGGTTGAAGCATGTCATCGTTCCCAATTGCGTAGATCGATGCTAATGATATCAATCACTGGATTGTCTGGTCCAGACTCGATTATTTACAGACCGCCGTCAAATAGCTGGAATATTGCTGAGTGCCGCGTTAAACAACCAACCAACCAACCAACCAACTTTTAGGCATAATTGTCGATTAAGCAACGTGGCACACAGGTGTTTGAGAAGGTGAAAGACGACAAATAACAAATAATTAATTGATGTAACTTGTTTACACTAATAAACAGGCGAGTATAATCATATTCTCCTGACAAAAGTATACATAATGACTACACAGCTAGTTTGCATTTCAAGCTTTGTAGTGGAGAGTATAGTTGTATATAATGTTTATACTTGTGATTACGTATACACTTGTCTAGTGGTAGTGCGTCCAACCGGAGAGCGGGTGGTCCGGGGTTAGATCCCCGGCCGCGTCATACAAAAAGACGTTGACTTGTGACGGTTGAGTCATGTGAATACATCTTAGTTGTGCGTGTACCATATGTATTGTGTAATAAAATACCTACATATTTTACTGTTGCTTTTAGTGTCTTTTGTCCTTGTTTGTTAACGCCGCACTCAGCAATAGTCCAGCTATATGACGCCGGTCTGTAATTAATCGAGTCTGGACCAGATACGATGACATGCATCAACCACGTCAGCCAGCCTGACCACCCGATCCCGTTCGTCGCCTTTTACGGCAAGCATGGGTTGCTGAAGACCTATTCCACCCCTGCTTTTTGTGAGTAAAAACGGATTTACTCCGCATAAACAAAAGGACGAGAAGGAGGAGAGACGTAAGTGTTCCAGACTGGGGACATTATCCACAGAAGGGAGAGATCCACGTTTGTCGCAGAACTGTCAGAATCGGAAATTCGAACAGACGATATGTGGAACTCGCAAGGCTAAGAGATGACCGTCTGTACTGTGAAATGCGACATCTAAGTTTGTTACTCTTAAATAAATTTTTAACAATTGTGACCCTGCTTCACCATCAGGAAAACATCTTCTCATCCTTCGTTAATAGATACTTTCAGGTGAAGGTTTTTTATCGTGGATAAATTCTGTACATTTCGTCCTGAGAATCTTAGCTGCATAAAGAGTTATGGTTATTACAGGGAGATCAACCACATTTCTGTTTTCATAAAACATGACAATCCAGTGAAGTGCTAATGTTCCGGATATCCTATGTTAGAATCAGCGTTTGACTGTTGAGGACATTGCACTCATTGTTAGATACGTCGTCTCCTGGCAGACTTCTCGGATGTATAACAAGGGTGCGGCTGTGCCGTCCGTTGCCCGTTAAGGGCCGTGGCTAGCTGATGGGGCTCTTCGGGAGTGTTTCTGTCTTCTCTTACTAGTACATATAGGATTACCTTAGTACATATCATATGTGGGTCTGTCAGTAGAGGATACTCCGAGTCCAACGTTACTGTGTAAGTATTTCTTCAATAACTCTGACATTAGCGTTCTGGTAGATGAATCGATCGTGTTCAGAATTTGTTCTGGTATGGAATCGATGTTTCAAAGGAGATAATTTATTTACAATTTCCTAATTAAAAATCCTTAATTCCGTTCGGGAGTGATAATACATCTGGACCGTTAGACGTTAAAGATTCTGGGTTAAGATTAGTTTTCAGCAACCCACGCCTGTCTAAAGAGGAGACTTGGTTGATGGGTGTCATCATATCCCAATTGCATAGAACGATTCTCATAATCTCAATCCCTGGATTCTTGTCTGGTTCTTACTCGATTATGTATAGATCGTCAAACAAACAAACAAACAAACATATTCCTTGTGATTTGAATAAGGTAGTGGTGATGATTCTGACAAGCTTGCTGGTGTATATTTTATTTGCGCTCCATACTTCAAGTAAGAGGGGAGACAACTCACTTGCACTTACACGGACCCAGATCACGGTGAAATTACAGAATACCACTGTACCATTTCTGAGATATTATGTTGGTAAAGGATCATATTTATTTTTTATATTGTATGTATCTCTCATTCATTCTACACAAACAAAGAGTATTCAGTCAGCAATTACTACGTGACTCACATATGACAAAGCAGACAAAATTTATGGATAACAACTTAAATACTGTAAAGGCGACGTTTCGGTATAGATCCCCATACCCTTGTATCAAGCAAGACTGAATGAAGAACATTGTACATAATATATATAGTAGGTGAAGCCTGTGCAAATAGTCTGTGAACTTGCAACATGGCAAACATACAGTTAGAAGTGAAGTTTATCCCGTCTCAGCGCGATGGACGTATTCCATGTTTTTCGAGGATACATGTTCAAATCAAACAAGCAGAGCGTGAGTGAGTGAGTTAGTTAGGCTTAACGCCGCTTTGAACAAGATTCCAGTTATACCACGGCGTGTCAGCATGAAGTGGGATGAAAGCCCGAAGTGATACCGGTCTCAGACGTTTACCATTTTGGTGAAACCCACGGCACGGGTGCTGACACACCTAGAAACAAAATCGGGGCGAACCGGGATTCGAACACATAATCATCGGTCTGCACAGCGACTTGCGTCGCCTTACATGACCAATCAAGAAGAGACATGATTGACAGTCATGTGAGTGTTTCTAGAAGATGTGTTCTGCAATAGTGTCCACAACGAATGTCATAACTCCTGTAAATAAAATAATGACAAAAATGGTTATATGATCGGGTGGCTTAGTCGTCTAAGATGCCGCGATTCGCTGTGCAGAGTTGCGTCCCGTGGACACGCCAGAAACCTATGATTAATGGGTTTGAATCCCGGTTCGCCCCGATTAGGCTTGTCAGCTTGTCTAGGCTTGTCAGCACCATACCCGTGCTCGTGGGTTTCACTGAAGTGATAAACGTCTGAGACCTGCATCACTTCTGGCTTTCCTCCCACATTAAGCTGACACGCCGCGATATGACTGGAATACTGTTAAAAGCGGCGTTAAACACAACTCACTCAATCACTATATAATGGCGGTCTGTAAATAATCGAGGCTGGACAAGACGATCCAGTGCCTGACATCATTAGCATCAATCCATGCAATTGGGATCGATGACATGCATCAACCAAGTCAGCGAGCCTGACCACCCGATCCCGTTAGTCGCTTCGACAAGTATTGTCGCCTTTTACGGCAAGCATGGGTTGCTGAAGACCTATTCTAATCCGGATCTTCACGGATCTTATTTGTAGATGTACGTTAAACCAGTTCTACAATTTATAATACTATTTATTAAGATTTTAGTTTTAGTTTACTTTTAAGTACACTCAACAAGCAATAGTGAAACTACAATTAATTATATAAGCAAATAAGTTTTGAAATGGTCCCTGACAGTAATTCTCTTTTGTCTTTGGTCACATACTCCGATGTTAATAAGGTACTTGCCTGGAGTTTCAACAGGCAACAATTCTCTGCATTCTGTCTTTTTGTACCCAAGCTGAATGCATCTCACCCCCGTTGCCCCTCCCCAAATCACATCCTGTCACACCCAAACTGAAGATCCTCCTGTAGCATTAGCGCCTGGAGGAGAAAAGAAATGATAGCATGATAGCAACTAGAGCTGTACTTGTAGGTACGTTTCCTGCTAACAAAATGCTAATGGTTTAAAATCTTCTGTATATTTACGTAACACTAAATCAATAAACCTATTGCGCAGTCCTCTGCAATTCTACTTAATTTGCTTGAGCTGCCCATGGGGCTCAATTGGAAATCTTGAGCAGGAGGAAAGCACATTCCCACAGACTGGGAGTGAAGGACTAACCTCCATCTCAAGAGGCTCAAAAGAATTATGAACCTTTACAAAGGTTGTGATAGAAGGCATCACCAAATGCTGGAGTGCAATGGCTCGATGATAAATGGGCTTCAACATGTTTCAATTTCATGTGTTGTGTTTGATGTTTTAATTGAGTTAGAGGACTCTCTGTTTCGAAAGCAGATGTCAATATCACTTGGTTATTTTGAAATATTGGTGGGGGGGGGGGGGGGGGGGGGGGTTCTCACGCAATTGGTCACCGTTTACCCACAAAGAGGGCAGTTTGATTAGAGGCCATTGACACTTTGGCAGCTGGAGTCGTGGAAGAGACAGTGGTTGAAAACGTCAAACGTGTTTGGAATGGAGGAAATAACGTTTTGTCCTCTGTGTTGTCCTCTGTCATGTCTGACATACAGCCAGTACGTCTCTTACATTGCCTCTGCTAGAATTCAGTGTCGACACATGTCATTACCACCTCCGTTACTTAATGATCACTTTATTCATTATGATGTAACTTCTATGATTACTGATTGATAACGTTGGATAAAATTATATCTACGAGGGGCGTTCAACAAGTTTTGCAACTTGGGCATTTGTGTTTACACAAACAATTTCAACTTTTGGCAGGTGTGACACTAGTCATAACATTAGGTTGACACGTGTCATAACAAGTTCCAGACACAACAATAAGTTAGGTGTGATGGCTTCATTCACCTAAGGGTGGTCACAATCATAGATTCTCTCAAACATGAACAATGCGCTGTAATAAAGTTCCTTACCAAGGGGGGATGCAAAGCAAAAGAAATCCATGATCGCATGTGTAAAGTGATGGGTAAGGATGCTCCGAACTATTCCACAGTTTGCAACTGGTCTCTACAGTTTAAAAGGGGTAGGAAGTCCATAGATGATGACCCAAGGTCAGGCAGACCAGATGCCACCCTACCGGAAACCATTGCTGCTATAGAAAGAAGAATCTTGTCTCACCGACGAGTAAAAGTATCTGAACTTTCTAGGGAATTCCAAATATCAGTTGGAACTGTTGTAACCATTATTCATGAGCATCTTGGTATGTCCAAGGTATGTGCAAGACGGGTACCTAGAAACCTCAGAGCTCAAGATCGCCATCAGAGAACTGAAACATGGATCTACCACTGGGACCAAGAAACTAAACTGGAATCCATGCAATGGAAGCACCCCAATTCTCCGCCTCCGAGTAAGTTTCGAATTCAACCATCGGCTGGCAAGGTAATGGCCACCATATTTTGGGATGCAAGAGGCATGTTACTGATTGATTACATGCCACCAAAAACTACAATCAATGGACGGTATTATGCTAATGTAATGAAAGAATTGCGAAAATCTATTCGCCAGAAACGCCGTGGGATGTTAACACGTGGTATTCTACTTTTGCATGACAACGCTCTGGTTCACTAGTCGAGAATTGTACAGGCCGCCATATGTGAATGTGGATTCGAACAGTTAAATTACCCACCCTACAAGTCTAGACTTAGCCCCCAGTGACTATTTCCTGTTCCGGCAAATGAAATCTGCCCTACGTGGTAGACGCTTCAAGGATGAAGAATACAAAAAGACTGTCACAGAGGCATGATTAGAGGGCCAATCTTCGGATTTCCATAAAAGTGGTATTAATAGCTTAAGGACAAATGGAATACGTGTATTGGGGTGAATGGAGATTATATTGAAAAATAAAAGTGCAAAAGATATTCTGCGACTTGGTCTTATATTGAAGTTGCAAAACTTATTGAACGCCCCTCGTAATATGTTTTCATCCTGCGAACAGCACGTGTGTTGTTACAATTTTCTTAAATGGACCATATTGCGGCCAACTATTCTCTATTGCACGTTAATCTTGACTACTCATCGAGATTTGGGTCACGACTGTTTGCTCATGAAAAAATGAATATTTATTGATTGTTTTCAGGAAACTGTAAATGAATCGCTTATACAGTTTTTCGTAAATGTATCAAAACACCTCCATCTATACACAGTAAAAAAAGTGTTGCACCCCCACATTAATACGTTTGATACATCACAACATTTAAAACGCCCGACTCTGGTTTTAATGGTAGGTATTCCTTGGGGATCTGATGTTAAATGTGTAATGTTTTCGGAGGGAAGATGATCACCAAAACGTAGCAATCAGCACGTGAATTGCATGGTGCATGACATTTGCAGATTGCAGTATCTTCTTAAGCTCAACATCGCCTATAAAAGATGTTCTCTGACAGCCCAGTTTATTGTAACCCACAATGCCGGGTAGACGATTGTCAGAAGCAGTCAAGTGGCAGATTATTGGCCTTCATGGAGCAGGTCTTTCGTTCAAGGAGATTGGCAGAAGAACCGGACATCACTACTCAACAATAAGCCGTTTGGTCAGAAAACACGCACAAACTAATGATGTAAGGAATCGCAGACCCTCTGGCAGACCACGTAAGACCACAGTTAGAGATGACAGAGCGTTGTTGAGGGTGGTAAGGCGTCATCCATTTGCTACAAGCACAACCTTGAAACGTCTTTGGCTTCCTCGTCAACAGTTCAGTACCCAGACCGTGAGAAATCGTCTTAAAGCTGCAGGGTTGAAGTCCAGAAGGGTTATCAAGCGACCTAAACTCACAGACAACCACAAACGACTACGTCTAGCCTGGTGTAGACTGAGACAGAACTGGAACTTGAGGTCCTGGAGAAGAGTCCACTGGTCGGACGAAAGCAGGTTCCTTCTGCATGTTGTGGATTGCAGAGTGAGAGTATGGAGGCGTCCTGGAACAGCTTATACTGCAAGAAACATCATGCCAACTGTACCATATGGAGGTGGATCTGTTATGGTCTGGGGATGCTTCTCATTTGATTGTAAGCTTGATTTAGTGACCATACGAGGCAACTTGACAGGGGAGCGCTACATCCAAGAGGTGCTGAATCCAGTTGTGGTGCCCCATTTTGACAATCATCCACTGGCCACCAGACCGATATTCATGGATGACAATGCCAGACCACATCGTTCACGAGCTGTGACCCAGGTTATCCACAACAATGCTCTGACGCAGATTCCATGGCCAGCAATGAGTCCAGATCTGAATCCTCTGGAACATGTATGGGACATTTTGGGACGCCTGATTTATCGTCGGGACCCTCCTCCACAGAACTTGCGTGAATTGGAAGCAGCATTACACGAGGAGTGGCAGCAGCTGCCCATGGAGCGATTCCAACGTCTGGTGAGGAGTATGAGACGAAGACTTCAAGCTGTGATCCAAGTGCTTGGTGGAAGTTCTCGATATTGACTTACTGTGTTTGTCAAATCTCCATATGACATTCTTACCCTATTGGATGAATTTGGTCACTAAAAATTATTGAGATGTCACCATACTTAATGCGTCTTCGTTGTTCGTTCATTTTTCGTAAAAGTTCAGCATGAGATTATTACATGCCATAAGGTCATGGAATACCCCATTTAAGTTCATTGTATAGACAATACACTGGTTTGTTGGTATACACGAAATCCTGGTTATAATATTAATTCGGTTATCTTTACACCCTTTCAAAACACCCCTCCATGAAAAAGTATAGGGGGTGCAACACTTTTTTTACTGTGTATAGTTTACTGACGAAACCTATAACATAATCTTAATACACTGGTGAGCAGATATACATCCAGTGTTTTTAAGCCTTTTTTAATATTGGCTAGAATTGTGCACAACCACCAGTAGCTAAATCCTGCTGGGGTATCATGCAGGAAGCCGAGGTACTGTAAGTCCACATGATCCCCAGCGAGGTGGCCTAGCTTTGGTTACTGGTGGCCTATAGCCCGTGTTTGGAAACTCTATACATGATATTGTTATGCTCAAATATGTTTCATAAATTGATTTTAAATATTACTTTGCGTAAATGACTCAAATGTGAATAACTTAACTTCGCTATATGACTGAAATAATGCCGATGGGCCGTTAAATTTTAACTCACTGACTCTTATCTTCTGCCTGATAATATATTAGAGTTTTAAATTGGTCAGGTTCACAGACTAAAAAATCGCGCCGAGGTCAAGGTTTAGGTTCTTTCAGTTTATCTTATCATGAATAAGATCACAATGGAATATTACCGTAGTTACACAGCGACTTGAGGTAGGTTGCCTTCTATAATTCCTCTACCAGTCGACATTAGGGTAGGACGGTACTCTCGTCGTTCATTACTAGTTCTGGAATTGTATGTTATCACTTTATTAGTGTGTGTGTGTGTGTGTGTGTGTGTGTGTGTGTGTGTGTGTGTGAGAGAGAGAGAGAGAGAGAGAGAGAGAGAGAGAGAGAGAGAGAGAGAGAGAGAGAGAGAGAGAGAGAGAGAGAGAGAGAGAGAGAGAGAGAGAGAGAGAGAGAGAGAGAGAGAGAGAGAGAGAGAGCTAATACGCACATATTCGCGGGTTCGTATTTCAACGTTGTTACTGCATGTGTATCATTACGGTGGGTGCCGATGACACTTACGTTGGTTCCACAGCTGCTTTTCAAATCCAACATTCCATGCTTTTGTGTATGTAATATCATTATGTATTGTGAACTGTATAACCAGCCTGGCGAGACAATGCAAACTACACACACTCAAGAGACCTGCTTTTAAATGATTCGTTACTCATATTATCAAACACGTGTTTCCCTGGCCTAGAACCGATTATTTCTTTGTGATGGATCCCTGTGGTCACATTATAAAGTTCATTACACATAAACATAGTATCATCAAATATTAAGGCTTGTTTTCCCTTTTCCACATTTTGTCAGTTAGGTAATTGCATTATATTTTTTCAGATAGAACTTGTTGGAAGTATCATACTCCCTCGAAAACCTCAGTGCAGGGCATATCCCAGATTCCAGGTTTGTATCACTTATTATTTCCCAGCACCATACACGTGCGCCAAGGTGTAAAACGTCTAGCACGTGTATCACTGTTGAGAAGTGAGATAAACACCGCTTTGTTCAGTATTTCATTCAGGGCGATTCTTTTTTTCTTAAAAAAACACCAAACAACAAGATCATATGTGTCTAAAGGATGCAACTGTGCATATCCCCTTGCTTTAGACGACTGGGCCAATTGGAACCCCATCTGTCAGTAATCCCACTTGTAACCCCAACTAAACTGCTGAATTGTTCTTTAAAGTGGCCTTTAACAAACCGTTCACTCAAATTGAACCAACTCACATTCTTAAATTTACCCCGCTTGTCTTTTGTAGACTCGATACCCTGAACACGTGGACTTCACAACGTATATTTTGACATTATGCAGGTGAGTGTACGATGTAATTGTTTTTCCTATTGAAACTCTGTGGTTCAAGAAAAAGTGTCAACATTTACTTTACTGCATATCGAGTGTGAGGATGAGTAGGCATCTAAGGTCACATCGGCAACATTTCTGTCTAAAGTGTCCAAACCGTGTGTATCCGCTGTTTACCCAGTGCGATGAGTCTACCGAAACATGTTACTGCCCAAATGCTTCCGGTAGGGCAGGACATACTTCCCCTTTTCGCGAACACCTGGTGTCATCACCTTTAGTGATCCATTCAAATTGTCACTGCTGTTTTGTCTTTTACACCTCAAAATATTGTTCTGCGGATAATAAACTCGATTCTTTTATGCTCTGGCGTTGGCGGTTCACCGCATCAGCAACATTGGTGCCTCGATTGTGTAAAATCTGAACAAATCACAAATTCACGTCAAAGGAATTGTAATCTAATAAGAACCTTAACGCACTTTGCATAAGAGTGTTCATTGAGAAAGGCAAACTAGAGTTCTCTATTTAATTAATGAAGTAGGGACCCGTGAGGATCCGGGGTAGAGTGAGTGAGTGAGTGAGTGTTTAACGTCACATCGGCAGTATTTAAGCCATTTCGTGACGAGAAGCTATACATTAATAATACACATATTTAGATGAAATAAAAACCTATCAAACGATGGACAGTACAATAACTAGAATATCACAGATGCGATGTAAAACTAGTTGAGAATATTAAAAAGCAGGAAGTAAAAGTGGGTAGAATAGGTCTTCACAACCAATGCAATGCTTGCCGTTATCGGCGACTAACGCACATATTTGAAAGCGAAAAACAAGATAATCAATAATTAAAGTGATGGCATACCTAATCTCTCACGGTACACAGCAAACGCTATCTTTATAGGACTGACATCGAACTACCAACTCGGGTTTCGTAGTATGTGGTCTAGTGTAATTACTACTTGCGTTAGGTGAAGAATTTCCTGTTCACTTGGTACCCTACAATGGTACCTTAGTGTCTCGCGGGATCCTCGCATACAGCCAGGTGTCGATCTTGCAATATCAGATATCAAAATCAGTTCAGACTGTCACAAACTAACTTTAAGCTGTTGTGTTAGGCCAGAGAGCCAAGGTGTCTTCCATATTTCCCAAGAAATGTAAGCGAAAGTAGATGTTCTACTTAACGTAAAAGCGGTCTTGAATATCTAGTTTTCCCTCAATACATTACAATTGAGATATGTGAAGATCCTGGGTAGAATGGGCCATCAGTAACCCATGCTTCCCGTAAAAGGCAACTATGGTTGTCGTAAGAGGCGACTTACGGGATCGGGTAGTCAGGCTCGTTAACTTGGTTGATGCATGTCATCGTATCCAAATTGCGTGGATTGATGCTCATGATGTCAATCACTGGATTGTCTGGTCCAGACTCGACGATTTACAGACCGCCGCCATATAGCTTGAATATTGCTGAGTGCGGCGTTAAACAACAAACAAACCAAATGAAGTAGGTGTAATATCCACCGTCATATGTACAGTAAACTACGTTTATAACGAACACGCTTATAACGAACTGACGGATATAACGAACTTACTTTTTGGTCCCGACTACTTGCTGTAGTCATGCTGTATATGTACATATAACGAACTATGGTTATAACGAACTAAAATTTGAAGTCCCGTTGAGTTCGTTATAACCGTAGTTTACTGTAGCTTGATTCCCTCATGTATATACATTGAATTTTGTCTGAATCCATTCGATGTTTGTCGTAATTGGGAAACATGCATCATTACCTCATATGATATTCTGATCATATGGCACATTACATGTGTTGGGTGGTGAATTATCAAATTACTGATTATAAACACACACACCCTTCCTCCCCACCAATCACAGGTAATGTAATCTCAAGGTAAACAATGGTGGGGTAAGAAATTTCTGCCGATGGACCTCTCGAATACACGCCGGAGCCAAACGTTGCGTCGATAAACTCGTTCTCTGCCGTCATTTCGAAACAAGTTAAACCGACTTTCATCAGTAAACTGCACTCGTCGCCAATTTCTCACTTGCCAGCGTCGAACCTGCCTCGCCCATCGCAGTCTCAGGCGTCGATGTTGAGCAGTCAGTACCATTCCTCGGAAAGGACGATACGCTCGGATTCCAGCAGCACGAAGTCGTCGCAGTACTGTACGTTGGCTAATGGGATGTCCAAACGCTGTTGCTGCCGTCGCCGTCGCCGTCGCCGTCGCCGTCGCCGTCTATTTCGCACGTGAATGAGCCGTATCTGACCGTCTTCCAGTGGTGTTGTCACTCGGGGTCGTCCGGTTCTAGGCCTATCCTGTGTCCCCCCTGTCTGCCAGTACCGTTGAATCAGCCTGGCAACTGTCAATTGTGTACAACCAAACCTTCTGGCAATTTGGACCTGTGTTGCCCCCAATTCGGTCACTCCGATGGCTCTCTCTCTTTCTCTCTCTGCTCCTGTGACAGTCGTGGCATTTCTTTTGTGTGCTTTCATCACGTGTGGTTATACCCTGCAGACGAACGCATTTATACAGCTAACATGCACGAGCAGTATATGCCATAGGCGGGAAACCTGTTTCACCATTTCTTGTCACCGCACGAGCGCCGTCAAAGGTGGCGCGTTCGGGTGAGGTGTTTTGGGGCTCCTGTTCCTTGGGCAGTCATATTCCCAATACCCACTTTCCACCAGTTATCGCTATTTTTAGGAAAATTATAAATTGCGAACCTATACTTTCTTTTGCCGCTTTGTTTAGTATTTACATAAATGAAAACAAAACTTGTATTAGTGTTTATTATCATGGTAAGAAGTAGACACACGCAAAACCATGCCCCGATATCATCCATAACATTATCTCCCAATTCACCCAAGCCTGCCTCCGACTCCGAAACAGACCGAGTCTGACGCGGTCGTAAAATCTACAAGACAACTTACTCTTTGAGTCCCAAAGCGTTACAGGTCAGCCGAAACTGATAGAGAACAGCTGTTGGATTGAGGTTGAGGTCAATGTGTGACGTGTCATGTGACTTGCATTGACTGGAAGGCAGCTTGACACTACTTGTGTAAATCACGGAACAAGACGGCTCGCCGATATTACAGGAAACACTGTTATCAAGGACCAACATCAATCTATCAGCTGGTGCTTCGCAAAATGTCTTCAGGTGTAAGTATATAGCCGGCATTAGATGTAAGATCAACTTGTCCTGGTGACATTGCCGCCCCATCATGGTGTCGCGTGATCTCCGCTCCCACCCACCTGTAGCGCGAGGTGTATGCCTTGTTACATACTAAATTCACTTAATGTGTCACTCAATTTCAATATGGAAAAAAGCGAATCCAGTTTAACCTTTCTCGATGTAAGAATCAATTTAATATCAGGGAGATTTGTACAAACTGATATCTTTTATAAAGATACTGATACGCAACAATATTTGGATTTTGCATCATGTCACCCTTATCATGAAAAAAACATTGTCCATGGTTCAACGGTTCCTGCCTTTTTTAATCAAAGTATTAAAATGGAGAAGATATTGAGCATATAAAAAATTATCAACACCCAAAAACAACCCAAAAATCTTAGAAAGCTTAGAAAGTTTGGATTGGTTAAAAGTCACCATTTTATTACATGAAAATTCCATGACGTGAATCAAATCTACAACCTCACCGGATATTTGCTGAAAATGTTATATGTCATGACTCCAGCTGGCCCATGTTGCAAGTGTTTTTCTCTCGCACGTTTTGATCGAATTCCATTGGACCGCGAAACGCTGTATTTTTTCACTATGAGGCACTTCGATGTTTTCTTAATTGTTCGGTATCTCTTGCATTTAGTGAGTGAGTGAGTGAAATTTAACGTCACATCGGCAATAATTCAGCCATATCGTGACGAAACAGTTATAATATTTATAATTTGATTTAATTAAAAAGCTGTCAACGATGGACAGTAAGATAACTAGAGTATCACAGTTTCGATTTTAAAACTAGTTGAAAACAGTTAAAAGAATACATTTTCATTCAACAATACAATATACAAAAAGGGCTATAGATCACCAGCAGCCAAAGTGAGGCCACCTCACTAGGGACCGTGGCTCTTGCATTTAGATGGCTCATAAGTGGGATAAAACACGCCAGCGAAAATCTAAAACCGCCAGTGAGGTACCCTCGCTTTCACCTAGCTCGCGATTTTACATTTCCCTATGAATAAGACGCCCTTGTATGTTTAACACATTGCAGTGTCATTTCGAGACTGGACATGACTTGTATCGAAATATGACAAGGAATGTTATTATGGACAGACATTTTTATACTCTATTAACATAATGTTTCATGGCTACTTCTTGTCCCTTCATCAGTTGAATGACAGGGTGTTGTTGTCTCTTTGTATGTGTCTAAGAGGTCGCCTTCTGCCCAGGGTGGGAGAACATGACTTATATACAAATGAAGCAAGTTTTTATTAGATACGTGAATAGATTCACGTTATACAGATAAGAGTGAGTGAGTGGGTTTAACGCCGCATTTAACAGTATTACAGTTATATCACGGCGTGTCAGCTTAATGTGGGAGGTAAGCCCGAAGTGAGGCAGGTCTCAGACCTTTACCACTTTGGTGAAACCCACGAGCACGGGTATGGTGCTGACAAACCTAGAAACATCACCGGGGCGAACCGGGATTTGAATTCACAATCAGGTTTCTGGAGTGCCCAAGGGACGCAACTCTGCACAGCGAATCGCGGCGCCTTAGACGACTGGACCACCCGTGCCCCCTATAGAGTTAAGAAGGAATTGCTGGCGTGACCGTCGTTAAAAAAAGAGAGTGACATGGTAATGATTAAAAGTTAAAGAGGATTTAAGTAAAATGCCTCATGAAAAACTCTCATACATTAAATAAATAATTCACCTTTGGTAAGTATTTCATATTTCATCACCCTGAACTGTATCAGTTGTCTCCCTTATAGTCTGTTTTCAGATATGTTTATGTGTAAACTGATGTTCATTGAGACGACGATGAGCACACATAGTGTATTGTTCTGTATTTCAGTTCCCTACTGTCATCGACTTAAATGTGGGTGGTCGACATCTGACAACCTCCCTGTCCACCCTCACCAAGTACCCGGACTCCATGTTGGCCACCATGTTTAGTGGAAGGCAGCCTGTGACCCAAGACAAAGATGGCCGCTACTTCATCGATGTGGATGGAGATGTGTTTATTCACGTCCTCAACTTTCTGAGATTCGGGAAGATGCCTCCACCCAAAGGAGCATCTGAGGTTATGGAATATGCAGAGTACTTTGGATTACAGGAACTGAAGGCATCTGTCCCCGAAGACTTTGAACAAGTGCTCTACGGAATATGGAAAAAGAAGCTACCTGACTACCAAAGTCAATGGGAAAAGGTGGAAAGACAATTAGGCTATCTTTCCACAAAATATTTTTACATTCACGTTGCCGCAAGCAGCGCTTGTCGTAACTTTCCGAAAACAAAAACACTGTTTCTTCAAGCTCCAGGCAGTAGGAACACCATTTACATAGAATTTTTAGACATCGGTAAAACGTACCCAACTGTCCTTTTGAATCTTCTTGCACACGACCTGAAAAGAATGAATATCTTCACGGACTATTGTGAGACGGAATGTGAGAATTGTGGTTGTCAAGCAGCCATGCGATTCAAAATTGGCAGGTGAAAAGCGTTAGATACCATTCCGACATTTTCAAAAATGGAACGTGGATCAGTTGTGGTATGGATGTAGATCTAAATTTTCGTCTTAATACGAATCAAATCTCACAAGACCAATTACTATTGTGGGACATTCCTTTGATTTGTGTCTATTGATGTTTCACCTACACAGGATATTGATGCACGACAACAGTTAACCCATCGTAAAGCAATTGACGTTTTGCTGCTTATCCAGTCTTATTTTCCTTGCCTTTGCTCTTAAAATAATTAAATACGGTGGAAATACATTTTTAAGATTAGTTTCCTAATATTATTTTCTCTTAGTTACCTATGGGACCAAAATGGTATTAGTTAATACAACTTAACCACTAACAATACATGTCTCGATCATGTTAAGATAGAAAATTGAGAATGATACACATACTATGGTGTGCTTGTATCCAAAAGGAATGTGACTCGCCTGCTTTCACTTTACAGGAACTAATTCCAATGTAAATAGACAATTCAAAAATGCAGTCAATATTGTTGATTCGCATTTTGATATAAATGTGAAAGATAACTCCTGACGTAAATGAACTCCCGATATTGAGTGTTGATTCTCCAGTTCTTGTTTAACTTGGATTCAATGCCAGGAATTAAACACAGCGTCCTGGGTACAGAGCAGACACGTAATTAACTGGGCCACCTCATCTCGATGAGCACTTGGGAAGGTCGATCTGTGAAAGGATTATGACTGGCATCATATATTTTATAAGCGTTATCTGAATTTTGGGGACGTAAATCGGCGTCAGACAACTATAAAATGTGCGGCATGCAGTTGAATGCGCGATCACACTCTAAATAAAAGGCAACAAAAGTTGTAATTGTTTTATGTGTTTGTTCCTTTTGTGGGTTCTGTGTCCTATGTAACAAATATACGGGTTCATATAATAACGAAGTAAAGATTAATTTATGTTCTTATGTTATATATCATTGGATAGCTAGATGATCGGGTTTCCATGTGTCTGTTGTTGTGAGGTTTTGACCTCATTTAGAAAAAGACGGTGAGAAAAAATAGTAAATATGTGAAGAAAAGTTTGAAACTGTGAAACTATTAATCTAAGAAACCATAAACAGACATCTCAACGTTGGCATTATGTGTAACAAGCAGCAAAATAAATAAAGCAAAGAACCAGAACTAGAGAGATGAGTGGCATCGCATCGGCAATATTGCAGCCATATCGCGATGAGAACAAGTATATTATTATAAAATTTCTGTTGACAAACGACAGTAAAACGGTAAGGTAAGTATCACAGTGTAGACATAAAACACACCTGAGCAATATTAAAACAAAGACGTTTTCAGTTAATTAGTTAATAGAAAGTAAAACCAGACTACAGACCACTGGCAACGAAAGCTAGACCACCTAACTGGGGATCTTTGGGACTTACAGAGCTTTTGCTTCCTGCACGATTCGCAGCAGGATTTATGCCATCGCTTTGGTCACCAGTGGTGTCACATCGGCATTATTCAGCCATATCGTGACGAGAAGTTATACATTAATAATACGAATATTTAGATTAAATAAAAACCTGTCAAACGATGGACAGTACAATAACTAGAATATCACAGATGCGATGTAAAACTAGTTGAGAATATTAAAACGCAATAAGTAAGAGTGTGGGGAAGAATAGGTCTTCACAACCAATGCTTGCCGTTATTGGCGACTAACGGGATCGGGTGCTATACAAAGGTGTAAGACGCACATATCTGAAAGCGAAATACAAGATAATAAATATTTAAAGTGACGGCATACGTAATCTCTCACGGTAAACAGCTAGTGCACAGAGAACACAGCAAACGCTATCTTTATAGGACTAACATCGAACTACCAACTCATGTTTCGTAGTGTGCGGTCTAGTTTAATTTAGGGTTGGGACGGTTACTCGAGTACCCGAAAACGTTTCAGGTAGCTTAGGACTCGAGTCCAATTTTCAGGACTCGAGTACCCGTTCAGGGGAGATAGTTATGCAATCATCATGAATTGAGTCCGTTTTCAGGAGTCTAGATCTTATACTTACCAGATCTGATTTAGTACTTTCCGTGAGACAGGCGTAAAATGAGAAAGTCCATGTTGTGGTGATAAGAAATCACAAATGACATTCCACAAGTGTTAGTTAAAATTCGTTTCATGATCACTGATTTTTTTTATGTTTGTTCGGTTAAAAACAAATTAGGTTGTTCAAAGTTGCAAGTTTGTCTTTATGCTTCAGCACGGTAACAACAGAAAAGTTGTTCTGTTGGACTATTTCAACATAAAACTTAACAGTTTTCAATAATTTGCTGATCTGTTCCATAAAAATGTGAAATCTAATGTTATTTGTGTTGTCATTATTGTCGAAATCATTTTACGAAATACTGAAATAGTGCAATGTTACAAATTAAAATACAAGCCTAGATAAAGACACATATCGATTTATCACCCATGTCACGACTCACGTGTCAGGTAGTCATGTGATCTTGCCGTTTCCCGCTCTCGCCTGTTTTGGTGACACTGCTCAATGACTGGCGCCAGATTACTTTGATATTCTGCGTCACTTGTGGTTTTAGGTAAGCCGTGCAGGCATTTTCATAAAAAAACCATAATACCTTAGAACAGATTAATAGATGTTTAATGATGACCTTTTATTCGCAAAAGTGTTACAAACAAGTGGGACAACATTGAAACATGCCTTGTTACAATGTGTGGTTATTCAGATACATGTATTAATACCCAAAGCTGGGTATCGATCTTGCAATATCAGATATCAAAATCAGTCCAGACTGTCACAAACTAACTTTAAGCTGTTGTGTTAGGCCAGAGAGCCAAGCTGTCTTCCATATGTCCAAGAATGTAAGCGAAAGTAGATGTTTACTTTACGTAAAAGCGGTCTTGAATATCTAATTTTCCCTCAATACATAACGATCGAGATCTGTGAATATCCGGGGTAGAATGGGTCTTCAGCAACCCATGCTTGCCGTAAACAGCGACTATGCTTGTTGGGATTTTGGGAAAGAATAGGTCCTTAGCAGCAAGGAAATGAACAGAGCTATTTACGCATTAAATGTGTACGTGGTCTCGCGTGGGTTTCTATACCCCGAAATGATATCTGTAAATTCTCGGAAATGTAAATTGGTGAAAAGGAATTCACTTTTAGTTGTGTTATCTTTCAGGCTATTTATATAGTTCATTTTACATTTGACTGATTGGTCTAATTTAAGAGATAAACATACAATACTTTTCATGGAGCTAGGTTACCTGTAAATATGACTGCGCCAAGTTGATTCTGGAGCGGTTATTGTGATTTGACACCTTTGATAGACCAATAAGAATCGAGTATTTTCTAAATGTAAGGTAGAATCACATGTGCATTAACAATGCGTTGTATTTCAGGATTCTCAAGTTGTGGATTTAAACGTTGGTGGTCGACATCTGACAACCTCCCTCTCCACCCTCGCCAAGTACCCGGACTCCATGTTGGCCGCCATGTTAAGTGGAAGGCATCCAGTAGCCAAGGACAAAGATGGCCGCTACTTCATCGATGTGGATGGAGATGTGTTTGTTCATATCCTCAACTTTCTGAGATTCGGGAAAATGCCTCCACCCGAAAGAGCATCAGAGGTTAATGAATAGGCGGAGTACTTTGGATTATAGGAACTGAAGGCACCTGTCCCCGAAGTGCTCTACGGAATGTGGAAAAAGAAGCTACCTGACTACCAAAGTCAATGGGATTGTGTGAAAAGTAAATTGAACGATATTCCCACAAGTTACTTTTACATTTGCGCAATAAAGTCTTATTGTTGATACTGTAGAATCAGTGACCCCAGGCAATTATTACACTATTGCCTTAATGTTTGAATCATACAGAACCTTGCTTTTCAATCTTCTTGCAGTCGACCTGAAAAGACTTCACCAACGTTTGTCTGAGGGTATGCTAGGCTTGTGGTTGTAAAGCAGCAATGGGATTCAGAATTGGTACGATGACCCAAATTGTCACACATTGAGTCGGCAGATAATTTTGATGAAAGGAATGTGAATCAGCCGTTGCATTGGTGGAGAGCTCTGTTGCCGGCTGCTGTGATTTTGAAGCGATGGGTCATTGGTCAATGTTCGTCTAAGTGCTGATCAAATCTAGCAAGATCTAGTATTAATATTACGGAACATTTCTTTTTAATGTATATAGACTCAAACTCAAAACAGGATATGGATGAAGGACAACTGTTAACCCGTCACAGAGCGATTTACATTTTGCTGCTTCTCTAGGTTCTCATTTCCTGCGGATTTCCGTGTCAGAATAGGCTCCTAGTTACGTGTTGCCAATGGCGATCGAAGTGGGTACACTGGCTGATTGTGTGCCACTTGTACCAATCAGCGTTTTAGATGATGTTAAATACCTGAAATATTGGTGACTGGCGTAAAACAAATCCGTTGCCATTGTGCCGAACCAGGTGGGTTTTTTTGTCGCTTTCATGTAAGACCAGGACACAAACATTTTTAAAAGGAAAATTGTTACTTTTGTGCTAACTTTTTGACATATGTACGATGTAAAAGAATGTATGTGAATATCGTTAATAGCATGAATTGATTAAAGCTTGCAGTATCTGGGTTCCTTTTCACTCTTGACTTGTATTGAACCCATTGTGAGAGTGATGAAGAGTATTCAGAATTCAATGTTGGTCTTGGTAAAAACAAAATGTTCCTTGTGTTGGTTCAGTTATAGTAGAAATCTATTTAATGTGCGTTTCCTAATCACGACACGAAAAAGCATCTTTCCTGACGTTTTGAAAAGTGTTGGTATTGATGAAAATGCATACATTATGCAAGCATTCCAAATCATTTGGTTATATTTATATGTATGCCTAGTTTCGGAATGTTTGGAAATGTTGGAGAAATGCACACACTTACATCAGTGTCCATACCCGCCTACAATCCTGCAGGTGTGTTATCTCATGTGGCAGGAGGTAGCGACACACAAACAAATTAATGACCTTTTCATATGTACACATGTATTTGTGTTAATTTGGACAATTAATTTCAACCCTTATTTCAGAATTGAAACATTTTCCTTAAACTTCCCGGTACAGAAATATATAGGGAATTGTACAAAATCTTTGATGCAGGTTTGGCATATATGATATAAGATTGGCACCCTGATGTTTGAAATACCAAGAGAAATACAAGCCGAATCAATAACTTTTGTCACTTTATAACCTTCCTTGACTATGTACAGGCATCAATGCACCATCAAACCTTATGAAATACAATGGCATTATATGGGCATATAGCTTCTAGTAATTTGATCTCTGCATACCCTCGGTATCCATGCATTGTGTGTAAACAAAGACAGAGCTCGTTATGCAGGACACTCCCGACAAGGCAGTTGCTGTAAACAAATATGCAAACATTTTTGGCATCATCCCTTTGCTTGCTAAACATTTACAATGGGAACCAGTCTTTGCGCAGGCTTTGAGAGACAACTGGAAACGGGGAATAGCCGGTTACGACGACTGCCTGAATCAGTTGCTGGAAGGCCTCATGGCAAGTCGGTATCACAGTGGTGTCTTGTACATACAGTTCTCGGATTCCTCTCAATACGTGTTCACTCTGTGCAAGGTGGCTGGTATTCCTGAGGGGCATCAGGTCATCAACGTCAAATACACCTCCTCCACAACGTATGGGACCAATCTTGTCCATTTCCTCAATGAGGATCTGAAGCGTATCGGTGTTCACCTTCAGCCGGGGGACTTCCGACCAGAACCAAAGTGTGGTTGTCGCGTGGCTTTGCGGTACATGATAAAACTTGAGTAACTGATGTACCCATAATTGTCACATTGTGTGGTTTGGTGCGATTAATGTATACTTCCCAAGCGAATAACATACAATCTACGGCAACCTATGCTTGCCGTAAAAGGCGGTTATGCTTGTCGTGAGAGGCGACTAACGGGATCGGGTTGTCAGGCTGGCTGACTTGGTTGAAGCATGTCATCATTCTCAATTGCGTAGATCGATGCTAATGATTTCAATCACTGGATTGTCTGGTCAAGACTCGATTATTTACAGACCGCCGTCATATAGCTGGAATATTGCCGAGTGCAGAGTTAAACAACAAACCAACAAACTTCATGCTTTTGGGTATAATCGTCGATTAAGCAACGTGGCACCAAGGTGTTTGAGAAGGTGAAAGATGTAAAATAACAAATAATTAATTGATGTAACTTGTTTACACTAATAAACAGGCGAGTATAATCATATTCTCCTGACAAAAGTATACATGATGACTTCACAGCTAGTTTGCATTTCAAGCTTTGTAGTGGAGAGTATAGTTCTATATAATGTTTATATTTGTGATTACGTATACACTTGTCTAGTGGTAGTGCGTCCAACCGGAGAGCGGAAGGTCCGGGGTTCGACCATACAAAAAGACGTTGACTTGTGACGGTTGAGTCATGTGAATACATCTAAGTTGTGCTTGTATCATATGTATTGTGTAATAAAATACCTACATATTTTACTGTTGCTTTTAGTGTCTTTTGTCTTTGTTTCTAACGCCGCAATCAGCCCTAGTTCAGCTATATGACGGCGGTCTGTAAATAATGGACCCGACAATCCAGTAACTGACATCATGAGCATCGATGACATGCATCAACCAAGTCAGCCAGCCTGACCATCCGATTCCGATAGTCGCCTATTACGGCAAGCATGGGTAGCTGAAGACCTATTCCACCCCTGCTTTTTGTGAGTAAAAACGGATTTACTCCGCATGAACAAAAGGACGAGAAGGAGGAGAGACGTAAGTGTTCCAGACTGGGGACATTATTCACAGAAGGGAGAGATCCACGTTTGTCGTAGAGCTGACAGAATCGGAAATTCGAACAGACGATATGTGGACCTCACAAGGCTAAGAGATGACCGTCTGTACTGGGAAATGTTTGTAACTCTTAAATAAATCTTCAAGAATTGTGACCCTGCTTCATGATCAGGAACCCATCCTCTCATCCTTCGTTGATAGATTCTTTCAGGTGAAGGTTTTATCGTGGATAAATTCTGTACATTTCGTCCTGAGAATCTTAGCTGCTTAAAGAGTTATGTTTATTACAGGGAGATCAACCACATTTCCGTTTTCATAACACATGACAATCCAGTGAAGTGCTAATGTTCCGGATATCCTATGCTAGAATGAGCGTTTGACTGTTGAGGACATTGCACTCATTGTTAGATACGTCGTCTCCTGGCAGACTTCTCGGATGTATAACAAGGGTGCGGCTGTGCGGTCCGTTGCCCGTTAAGGGCCGTTGCTAGTGTTTCGGGAGTGTTTCTGTCTTCTGTTACTTTCAGATTAGTACATATAGGATTACCTTAGTACGTTCGGGCGTGATAATCTCTGTGAACTGAAGGACGTTAAAGATTCTGGGTTAAGATCATATCCCAATTGCATAGAACGATTCTCATAATGTTAATCCCTAGTTACTTGTCTGGTTGTATTGTATGTATAGATTGACAAACAAAAAACAAACAAACATATTCCTTGTGATTTGAATAAGGTAGTGGTGATGATTCTGACAAGCTTAATGGTGTATATTTTAAGTGCGCTCCATACTTCCAGTAAGAGGGTGGGTACAATGTGTGAAGCCCATTTCTGGTGTCCCCCGCCGTGATATTGCTGGAATATTGCTAAAAGCGGCGTAAAACCATACTCACTCACTCACTCCAGTAAGAGGGGAGACAACTCACTTGCACTTACACAGACATAGATCACAGTGAAATTACACAATATCACTGTACCATTATTAGCCCATTTCTGGTGTCCCCTGCTGTGATATTGCTGGAATATTGCTAAAAGCGGCGTAAAACCGCACTCACTCACTCACTTCTGAGATATCATGTTGGTAAAGGATCATATTTATTTTTTAAATTGTATGTCTCTCTCATTCACTCCACACATACAAAGAGTATTCAGTCAGCAATTACTACATTACTCACATATGACTCACATATGACAAAGTAGACACAATTTATGGATAACAACTTTAAACAAATTGCGAGGGAGAGAGTGGAGCGAGGAGGCCATGCCAACATTTCACATCTACACCCTCTACCGGGCCGAAAAGAAGATGTTTTAGCAGTGACCCACCACTAGACACTACTTAGAACTACAGACCAGCTCTGCGAGACAGAGGGTGGTGATGGTTTTCTGCTAATAGACGACGGTGACACCGACAAAATAGGATTCGCAACTGACAACATTCGTCATCTCTGCGACGCTTAGGCAATTTATAGCGATGGAACAGCAGGGCTGCCAATTATAAGGGGTAGGGAGTCCATAGATGTCCATAGTCCAAGGTCAGGCAGACCTTCAGATGCCACCCTACTGGAAACCATTGCTGCTATAGAAAGAAGAATCTTGTCTGACCGACGAGTAAGAGTATCTGAACTTTCTAGGGAATTCCAAATATCAGTTGGAACTGTTGTAACCATTATTCATGAGCATCTTGGTATGTCCAAGGTATCTGCAAGATTGGTACCTAGAAACCTCAGAGCTCAAGATTGTCATCAGAGAACTAAAAGTTGTCGAGACCTCCTGGATCTCTATACTGCTGATGGAACCGGATTTCTTTCTCGTCTAGTGACAGGTGATAAAACATGGATCTACCACTAGAACCAAGAAACTAAACTGGAATCCATGCAATTGAAGAACCCCAATTCTCCGCCTCCGAGGAAGTTTCGGCTGGCAAGGTAATGGCAACCATATTTTGAATCGCTAATACAGTTTGTTATTAATGTTTCAAAACACCCCCACCTAGTTTACTGACGAAACCTAATCTTATCATCTTAAAACACTGGTCAGCAGATATACATCCAGTGTTTTTAAGCCAACTCATTGCTGAGTATTGTTTTATATTGGCTATTATTGTGCACAACCACCAGTAGCTTAAGTGATGACGTAAATCTTGCTGGGGTATCATGCAGGAAGCCGAAGTACTGTAAGTCCCCATGATCCCGAGCGAGGTGGCCTAGCTTCGGTTACTGGTTGTCTATAGCCCGTGTTTGAACACTCTATACATGATATTGTTATGCTAAAATATGTTTCATAAATTGATTTTAAATATTACTTTGAATAAATGACTCAAATGTGAATAACTTAACTTGGTCTCGTCGCTATATGACTGAAATATTGCCGATGGGCCGTTAAATTTTTAACTCACTCACTCTTATCTTCTGCCGGATAATATATTTCGTGTCTCGTTGATTCTACTTCCGGAATCATCAGATTCTCTATTACAGACAAAGCAGAGATGCTTTAAAATCTCTTGGGACAATTTGCAATGATTAATGAAGGTATGAGTATAATATGGACTAGACTGGGTAAACTTACAACGAATTAATCTGGGTTCAGCTTTAACCTCTTTGTGTGTGTGTGTGTGTGTGTGTGTGTGTGTGTGTGTGTGTGTGTGTGTGTGTGTGTGTGTGTGTGTGTGTGTGTGTGTGTGTGTGTGTGTGTGTGTGTGTGTGTGTGTGTGTGTGTGTGTGTGTGTGTGTGTGTGTGTGTGTGTGTGTGTGTGTGTGTGTGTGTGTGTGTGCTAATACGCACATATTCGCGGGTTCGTATTGCAACGCTGTTACTGCATGTGTATCATTACGGTGGGTGCCAATGATATTTATATTGGTTCCACTGCTGCTTTCGAAATTCAACACTCCATGCTTTTGTGTATATAATATCATTATGTATTGTGAACTGTATAACCAGTCTGGCGAGACAGTGCAAACTACACACACTTAAGAGACCTGCTTTAAAATGATCCGTTATTCATATTATCAAACACTTGTTTGCCTGGCCCAGAACCGATTATTTACAGCCCGCCCTAATATTGTTAGATTACAGGTACATCATAACATGCACGCATTACCTCATCACAACGAGCTGTAAAACAGCCGCAATATCCGAGTAACTCCAATGCGAGAGTACATGCGTGATGGTGTAGGTCTTCGTGTAGATATGGTGGCCAAGAGGGGACATCGCTTTCTCGCTCTATCGCTTTCTCGCTTTCTCGCTTTCTCGCTCTGTTGCTTTATCGCTCTTTTGCTTTATCGTTTTCTCGCTCTATCGCTTTCTCGCTTTCTCGCTTTCTCGTTCTAAAACTTTCTCGCTTTCACGCTTTATCGCTTTCTCGCTTTCTCGCGGTTAAGCAATATCCCCTCTTGGCCACTAAAGGGGCCGCATGTGATATCTGCTGCAATTGGAAGGTAATGTTGAACTTTTCTCACTATTTACTTAAAACATAATTTAACTGTACAGACGCAGCTGATTTTAAAACAATCCACAGATTTTTGCGTAAAATGTAATTGATTTATTTATGGCCCTATTTAGTTGTATGTGACCATCTCGCCGAAAGCGCGTGGCAGATCATGGCAATTCGCTCTAAATAAATCAGGTTAAAATCTAAATATATACAATATATATATAAGTTAAGAAGACTATAGTTAATTAGTCATGGCTGATTGTTTTGCAAAAATACAATCTTATAATTTTGGATGTTCTATAACTAGTTTTCGGTAGTATATGATGTTACAGTGTGTCATAAGGTTGTCCGTAAATGTTCTTTTTGACATTTGATGTATGTTTAACTTGAACTATGTTTCTTGTCTTGTGCAAATCTACAAATATATGTACTTGCATATAGTAATTTGATAAATACAGCTGTCAGTGAGTGAGTGAGAATGGTTTCACGTCGCTTTTAACAATAATCCAGTAATATCACGGGGAAAACCAGAAATGGCCTTCACACATTGTACCCATGTGGGGAATCGAA